TCAAGAATATGGCGAAAAACTAAGAAAATTGAAATATTCACAGATGATATCGGTGGGAATGGACGTTAATTAATACCAACAAGGGAAAAATAAAACGTGTGAAATGGATTTTATTAGTCTACGTTGTTTATTATAACCACGTGTAATGATGAAATAAGCATGACAAACTGGAAAGGACACTTTTTTAACCGCGGTACACTTGCACATCTGCAGAACTAGGAGGAATGTAAACAGAACAGACAACACTTTTAAATCCAAACCGTACTTTCACAAAAAGCTGTTCAACAGTATTGATGTTTAATTCAATTAAGAGGCTGAAATAAGAGTTTTTTTACGGCTATTAAAATACCACGCCTTTAACGCTTTGTCTGTCACGTCATCCATATACGGGTACCAGCATTTTCCATTATGGAACTATAAAAATTAATTCTCAAGTTGAGATGTTGAGGGAAATAAATTTGGATAAGATTTATGAATTTTAGCAAGATTACAAAAATAATCACTGAAACAAATTTTAGATTATGTATTTTACAATGGTCTAAAATCAAAATTTTAGTTTTGCAAAATATTGTACTATTTTGATTTGGCAATTAATGTGTTAAGGGAATTGCTAGTTGCATTGTTCCTGATAAAATGATATAAGCATGGAATACTAAATCTGCAAAAATATTACCACACAGCCACGTTTTAGCTAAAATTGCCACATATCTGGAAGCGAATGTCCAACATAAATCAGTTAATTTAGATTTTAAATCCCAGAATATTCTAATAGTATTTCAACCATTTTGGTCGCGCTACAAATTAATTTTGCCCCATTGTGAGATGGTTCTTTTGCGCTGAAGAAACACAAACAATGGCGGTGATGACTCTGTGTCTTGTATCTGGGGTAAAAATTCGATCTTAAGGGGATCTTCTACTGTAAAACGCGTTTCTTTTTATTTTCTTTGGTATTTCTTTATGAAGAAACTACGCAATTATATTAATATTTGTAACTGTTTTAATAATATTTACAAAATTTTTATAACGAGTAATAGTTAATATTAGTGGTAGCACAGAGCGTAAACGAGTGCTGCTGCACTCCTAAATTTGATGAACGTTACTAGAGTCGAGGAACGACCGGAAGATGCAATGTCTCGACTCTTCGGAAGGAGAGGTCGAGGAAATCTCGAGGTTGAAGAGTCTGTCGCGGTTCGATACACTTCCCGGCCCTGACCGTTTCAAGATTCACGCGCGTCGATCTTGGGATTGTGAAAGCGATTGCAAAGTACCCCTTTCCGACGTTTCTTATCGATCGTTTTGCCCGGGCTACCAAGAGAACGGGCCATTGTCATGCAAATGTTTGCAGATTCGCTTCCCCCGAGCGGGCCCGGAGCAAACCGGATATGAGGCAGGAAAGCACACGCAAAAATTCTGCGCGAGACGTTCGCGATTCAGAGGACCATCGGTCGATCTAACCAGCAGTCTAATTGTCAGAACCGTTTCTTTTATTACCAATTAAGCTTCTCTCGACGTACGTCCACGAATTAATGGACACTTAACGAATGTGGAATAAAAACGAATTAATACTGTGAAGCGATGTATATTATAAAACGAAACTAACATTTATTTCTTAAAATTTATTCATTACATTATAAAGTAAACGTAATATAACCAGAATGTTAACAAATAATTAAAAATTTCCGTTTTATGAGTGTATCAGCTTTGTTTGAAAACGATCGTTCAAAGTAATTATTTTTTACCATTTTTATCATTAATTTTATTCCGACCTTCCCGTAATATTTTCTACCAGGCCTTATTTAATTTTAAAGACGTTCACATTCGAAACTTGTTTCCTTACTTATCGCATATTTATTTTGTTTTTATACGTACGTTGTAAAATTTATAGTAAAGTAGTAGCTCGAAACAAATAAATGTAACAAAGGAAAATAATACGATTATTTTAAAGAATTGTATCTGTACTTTTCGAGCAAAGTGTCCTGTGATTTAAGGGGTTACGCCATTCCGTGGTCAGCCCCTTCTATCGACACACAATGGGCCAGAATTCAGAATTTACCAGTTTCAGTTACAATTTCTTCCGCTCGGTCCTTTAATCTGCTTCGATAAAATCGAAAGATTCTGTTCACTTTTATCGAAAGCTTCGTATACGTTACTATGTTACCTTTTTAAGCGTGTAGAAGTCGAGCATACAAAGTGATCTACGAGGGCGACTCGCATGGAAATGCTTGGAGACGACAGCTCCGGTGTAATTTTCAGGGCGAGTACGCGTTTTTGTCATGCAAATACGCAACAAGTCACTTCCTGCAATCTAGAACAGGGGACGTCGACTTTCCAATAAAATTACCAAAGCATAGAGAAACTCTGCGGCGTCAAGGTGTAATAAGCGCGCGGGCAAAAAGGTACCAACGACGGAAAATCAAGGTACGAGGAAAACGCTAACGATTTACCGGCGAAGGGAAGAAACGAGCTACGGTCCCGTTTGGAAAAGTTATGACGGACAAACTAGCCATGTGCTGGCGATTCGGAGAAACGAGACAGAACGTTGGACAAGCGAGGACGTGCTCTGAATGATTCTAGATGATTCCTCTAGATAATCCGTGGCGATATGTACCAGATAATCGCAGATACCCTTACAGAGACAACTTGCTCGTACGCGATACAGTTGTGTGGCTCGAAGCAATTACTATCGTGCACGTAGTCCCGGTGTGAAAGCTACGGATAGCGTCGAACGTCTGTCTTCGGTGAAAAGTGTGCTAACACTGTCGTCGAAACTGCCCCATTCTTTCCCCAATATGGAAAATAGAGGAAACGCTTTAGCCTCGAATTCGGAAGCGTGCCTAATTCCTGAAAATTGCGAAACTTTGCGATTTATTCGCTTTCATCACCGCTCTGCGTCCGGTTTCAGAACAATAGCTTCGTATTCTCGTATTCAATATAACGAATCAAGCACTACTATGAAAATGTTGCATTTATAAAAATAGTATAATCTCAATTTTTTGGTTTGTTGACTTCGTGACACGAAACACTTTCGTATTAACTACCACAAATGTGAATCACAGCGGATAGAAAACAAAAAATATTCTTTTAAGAACTACTTTATACGGAGTGTTTATTTGAAAACTTGAAATCAAAATATCTCGAAAACAACACATTTTCGGGAAAAATGTTAACACGACTGCCATGGTGGTCTCCGGTGACCGGCGCTCCAATCCTACGTGGTTTTAAAACGCTTACAATAAATGAACCTTAATACTTATTATATTTTTATATTCCTAATGGCAATGACATTATTAAAAAATATGTAAGTACGCCATTAAACTATTCAATATTTCTACTTGTTATACTATAATTTTAAAAAATATCGAGAACATCCCTATACAGAGAAAACTGGTACAGCAGTTAACGTGTTAAATATAAAAGTTACTTGGTTTCAAGGGTTTCAAACACACAACTATTTTATTTATTTTTTATTTCTTAAACGCTCTCAAGATTATTTTAAAGGTAATCTTGTTTTTTTAAATGGAAACCTATATTTTTATTTATAGACACTTATTCTACGCAAAGAAAGAACAAACTTTCGTACGAAACATATTTTTATCAAATTTTACCTTACAAGGATATTTAATAAAATAAAAACTTGGTTTACTTACGTAACTTTTTTATTTTTTTTATGATAAAATGTTGAAGAATCGATGGCAATTACATTTTTTCACGTGGCATTTGTATTACATAAAGAATTGCTTACACTAATCGCTTACATCTTCAAAATTTTGAAACAATAAATTATCATTTCTAATACGAAAAAAATTACAGTGCTTCTACCTTCATAATATGTTTTCAAAATACTATCCATGTTGTGTTAAACAATTATACAATCTGTTGTGAGATTCACTTCTCATATACATATAATTGTCATTAATTCGTCATGATTCAGTCATAAAAAAAATAAACAAGTTTCATAAGTAAACAAATTTTGTATTTTATTAAATATCCTTGTAAGATAAAATTTCATAAAAATATGTTTCATACACAAATTTGTTAATTTTTTATGTAAAATAAGAATCTGTAAAAATATAGATTTAAAGAAACAAGGTTATCCTTAAAATAACCTTGAAAGGGTTCAACAAATAAAAAATAAATAAAATAGTTGTGTTCCCTCCTTGAAACCAAGTAACTTTTGTATTTAACACTTTTCTGGAGAATGTGTTGTTTTCGAAGTATTTGGATTTAAAGTTTTCAAATGAACACCCTGTTATATATAAATTTCTTAAGAGAGTACACCACGATGAATGGCTTAAAATCACACCAAACTTTCGCAATTTATTCTTAGGAAAAATGTCTTGATAGGTTCGCATTATACAACTATTAAGAAATGTGTGCGTATTTTTTCTTTTCCTTTCTAAATACAAAATGGCGGTCTAGATCCGTTTCATTCCTACACCTTTTCAGACAACCCTCTTTACAGTCAATACAATGATGATTACAGTTTTTGAGCTGCAATCAAAAACTAAAATTTGTTCGATTCAACATAAAATTTGCTAATCAAGTACGCAGGATATTTTTAAATATTGATTTTTGTAGAATCAGTACATGTTTGAAAAAGAAATGTTGACTTTTAAGAAAAAATTGCGTATAAAAATATTTATAACAGAAAAAGTTTTTAACGTATCACAAAACCCCTCTGTACTCGGCTAGATAATCAAATAAGACAAATTTTATGAAAGTTTGAAGTGAATTGGATTAAAATTCTTGAAGCTATCAGCAACTCTAGTTTGAAAAATGTCATTTTGAGGAAAACAAGTTTAAAAATGTTGATTTTTACTGTATAATACGAAATTACTAGATACTTTTTTAGATTACTAAGATACTATTTTCAGAACTATAGACTATCGATTCTGCAAATAAAAAGTGATTTTTTTAAACTTTCATCGTGACGTTACAGTTAAATCTAAATAACACTGCATCTATTCGAGAAGGATTAACGATCTCTTTTCTTCTTCAAGGTGTATCATCATTGCCTCTTCGGCACAAGGTACGACTTCCTCTGCGCGAATTTCACGGCGTTCGATCAAAAGACCTTCATTTGTCACTTCGTCTCCGAAGTCGACTGCGCCAACTCGAAGAAGTATTGGCACAGAAACGATGCTCTCTACAAAGCAGCGACGACTTCAACGACGTCTACCTCGACGACCACGACGACGACGACAACGCCACCGCCGGTGGTAGCCGGCGCAGGACGATCGAGGGACAGAGATTCACCGAGAAGAAGAAGGCCGTTCAGAAGACGACCGGCGTACGACTACTACGACGAGGAGTATTACGACGATGATTACACTCGTCCGCGCGGCTACAGTAGGGACGATTACGACTACGACGACAGAAAGTACAGAAGGGACAGGGATCGTGACTTCAGAGATCGAGATCGCGATTTCCGAGACAGAGATGCCCCGAGAGACGCCCCAAGGTCTAGGGACGGGGTTGTCAGAGACGACAGAGATCGAGATACCAGCGTTAGAGACAGATTTCCGAGCAGAAACAATAGAAGAGATCCTAGCAGAACGAGAGACCCCGTAGAAGAAGACGCGAGACCCAGGCCAAGAGATCCTGACCCAGGTTCAAGGTCTGCTTCCAGGGAAGTCGACGACACGGAGTTGGACGATCGACGAGGCGAATCTAGAGTCAGAGATACGGACGATCGCCGGTACTCTGACAAAAGGTATTTTGTTATTAACAAATTTTATTTCTGTAGTGGTAACGATTTTCAAATATACAAAAAAAAACAATTATCAGGATGTTGTAAACGAAGTGGCCTTTTTTTCGCAATTCAAATTTCCCGCCTTTTTAACTCGATTTCTACTTTATCGACGATGTTGTATTCATTTTATTTAAAAAGTATTTGCATTTACATTTGCATTTATCATAGAAAAGGAGAAAATTTGAATAATTTATTGGTAAGAGTTAAAACTGAAAATTAATTATTATATCTCTCGAGTCCTTTCCCTAACAAGTAAAAATATTTTTCGCAAAAATCAGAGGATATACACGAGAGTTCTAGCGTTAACGATGGGCATTTTAAACTCGTATTACAAACAAGTTTAATCGATTTCATGGGAGATTCCTTTGCAGATACAGAGACGAGTACGATGACAAGGAGTCTGTATCCGCATCTGCGATCACGGAAGCAAATGGGGATGGTCTGGTGAAGCCTGCAGCGCCTATAGCTTCGGTTTATTCGAGACCAAGAGCCCCTCCGAAGATTCGAAGACCGGTTCCGCTCTCCGAACAAGACAAATACGCTTACAAAGCGACCGCTGTTCAGTCTACGGGTAATCGGTTGAAATTTTCAGAGCGTTCAAACGGTTTATGGTAAGGCATTAACTGCAACGAAGATCATTTATTGCAGAAGATCCTCGAAGGAGACCAACGGACGTCGCGGAAGACGATTACTACGAAGACGAACTGGAGGATTTTCGGCCAGTTCGTAGACCTATGAGAAGAAGACCGTCGTACAGAGACAGAGATTTCTACGACACCAGAGACAGGGATAGGGACAGGGACAGAGATCGACCCTTCAGGTAGGGTAACGTACGTACACAACACCGATACAATTATATTCGTCTGTCGTAACCAATTAATCAGAACACATCGCTCCGATATCGTACCGACCGATGTCGTTGCCCACATGTAACACACAGTAACAAACATTTCTCATAATCACATGGAACATGGAAAACTACTGTGACACAGAACTGTGACAAATATTTTCTTTACTTGCGAAAGTTTACGGAATTGTTAATTTTAGACCCCGTTATCGGGACGAGGAGGACGACCTGCGACCTAGAAAACACTCGGATCGCTCGAGAGACCGCTACTACGATCGAGACAGGGATCGAGGCGCCGATCGTGGAAGAGATAGATCCCTCGACCGTGGAAAAGATCGTACCACGGACCGAACGGTGGATCGTGATCGCGGACGACCTCAAGACACCGAAAAGCAAGAGAGACCGTACTCGACTCGACTTCTGGACAGGGAAAGAGACGCGGAGCGTTCTAGAACGGGATCCAGAGCGAAAGATCTACAAGAGACCACGGATTTACCGTCCAGGAGACCAAATAGCTACGAAAGAACAACCAGCACGGCGACAACGACCACCACGTGTACGCCCGAACAACTGATTCAGAAAATAGAGTCGGACGTGAAGGATCCCGCGAACGATCGGCCCGAGAGACCCAGTCACACGGAAAGACCACCGAGACCATTACAAAGTCCACCGACGCGGACCCCGATCGAAGACGAAGAGTCTCATCGAACCAATCAGCAGCCGGATTACCACGAGAGGGATCAGGAAGAGAGACGCGAACACGGTCAGTACCACACTTCGTCTCTAGAGGAATACTCGCAGGACTACTACGACGAACCGGAAGATCCGCCTGCTCCGCCTCCGCGAACCGCGGTTCGCATCGTCAAACGACCGTTCTTGCCATCCAGAGGTGGGAATCCCAATCCGAGGGGTCTGTCGTCGGTCGGTTCGAAAGCAACCACTCCCAGAAGGGACGAAGACAGACCAACGGAGAGGACGACGGTTCAGGAAAGGCAAAAGAATTACTACGAGAATCCCCCGGAATCCCATCAAGAGTCGAAAGCGCAACAGGAAGAGAAAGAAACCTACGACGCTTACAAAACCGTTCAAGCTGAAACACAGCGCGAACACAGGCCGGAGGAATACGACACGTCCATAGCCAGGCCCGCGATTCGACGACCGGTCGACCGTCAGCGGGAAGAGGAACCTCAGAAAGTTATGGAAGACGCGTACGTCAGGGAATCGAAGCACGGACAACAAGAAGATCGACGGGATTTTGACGAGGGGTTGGCTAAATGGCCTTCCGAGGACTATTCGAGCGAAGGAACGGCGCAAGCCTCGAGTTCTTCGCTTCGAAACAAAGGGAGACTGACCGCCAGCGAAAACCCGAACGTTTACGGATCCACGTTTAAGACGGAGGAGAACCAGGAGCATCCGTCCGGCCCGGGCAGCTTCAGAGTGAAACAAAAGATCAACGAGGTAACGCATCGGCTGCAGGACATCCCGGAGAGCGAGTACGACGTCACTCTGAACGATGCCTTGACGCCCACGTTGAATCAAGAACCGAACCTGCCTAGCGGATTCGTTCTGCCTCTTCACAGGCAAGTTGGACGGGACGCGATCCTCCAATCGTCCGAGAACAATTACAAGGTCTCGAGACCGGTGAATCAACAGCAACAGAAACCGTTCGTGCCTAGTCCACAATTTTTGCCGACATCCAACAACGACAGACTGAGGACCGTGTACTACAGATCGTCTGACCCGATTCAGATAAGCGGGACGCAATACCGACCGCAGAGGGGACCGTGGCACGATTACACTGGTTATTGAAACCGATCACTAACGCGCGAGGTACATTCAGAATTTGAAAATGCTTCGGGATTTCACGGGAGTCGTGGACGAGTGAAATTTACTCGCATCGGCGTCGAGTCGATTACAACGATACCCGGATAACTGAAACGAAAACGAGTCCTCGCGAGTTCAGTTATCCGGGGATTACTGTATTCAGGGGAACGGTCGTTGCCTCCGACTTCCTTTCGGAACGGAGAAACGTTATCGAACCCCTCGATCGCGTCGATCAGACTTTTCGATGTCTTTCATGCAGGCGAAAAAAGCGGAAACGAATTCTTCAGTCTTCGGGTCCCTGAAAATAAAACACTAATACCTAAATAATCAAATAACTATCGTGACGCTGGCAAACATCGAGCGTAACAACAAAATCGAAGAGGGTACTTTAAAAGCATCGATAAATGTTAATTGCATTTCGTAAGTTTCCATCTTACAAATAGAATAATTAAATAAACTCGAAAGGCGTGAATCTAGAATAGTATCTTCGACGATAGTATCCATGTTCAACTTCTTTCTCCTAATGGCGCGCATCGGAATCTACGTTTTACTAACCGGATACGTTTCAAACTTTAATTATTTTAACGGTAAATGAAATTCGGGTCGAAGGTGCAAACCGTCCCGCGATTGTTTCTATTTTCGGCTAAGCTTGTAAATATGCACACGATTATGTCCAATTTTACCATGTTTCTTTTCGAATTAAATTATTGTTCTAAGCACGAGATACGTGTATACAGTTTTTTACAAATGTTCTTTCGTCGTCTCGATTTTTTCTTTCGGCAGTAGTAGCAAATAAGTCTTCTCGAGTATACATTTTACATTGAATGTATTGTAAATTATATCAAGCGTGACGTACGATATTAAATAGTGAGAAAATATAGCTGAATTTATTTTTCAATCCATGTGATTTTTAAACCGATGTTTAACACTTTGATTGCCACGCAAATTATTATTATGTTAAGAAAACCCCTTTGCGGAACCATTATTGTTTTCTATTCGTAACAGAAGTATGTAAGCTACCTAATATACTTCACTAAACAAAAATACATTTGCAGTAATTACTGTTTTTATAATGTCGAAAAGAAAAAGTACACCAACAATTTTTAGTTATTACTCGAGAAAAAACCTATTACGAGATTTATAAAAATTTCCAATGTACATAGTTATGCGGAAGAATTAAGATTTTCCATAACAAGAAATTTATAGGTATATTATCGTAATACCTTTATAATAATTTATTAATCCTTTTATATTTTGTTGACTATCCGTCCAAGCACTTGTTTAAATCATTAGTGATTAGAAAGTATAACAATCAAAGTGTTAAACTCGTAGCCATTCGCTCGTGATTATTTATGATAAAAACTTTACCATAAATAATCACGATTCCCAGGTTTCACCGCGTGGAGGTTGCTACGAATCGAGACCCATAAAGCAGTCCCACCACCTTTCCTTTTTAATCAACGTTTTGAGTTGTATAAAATACTTTTTTTACTGTTTTAAAATAACGTGTATGGCCTCTATAAAGGTAAGTGGACTGCAGCAGTATCTTCTAGTAAGAACGCTATGAAAAACTACATGGTACATACAGTTTATCACAAAAATATTCAAACATCGATGGAAGTTGATTTCCATATTCTGCATTTACAAAATATATACAATGGACAATATAGTTTATAGACAATAAAAACACAAAAGCTTTCTATTTGCAATCATTCGACTTATGAAATAATAAAGAAAAAACAGAATGCTACACATCTCTATAGCACAAAAATATTTAGACGGTACAAAAGTTAAACTTACAAAATTAAGATAAAAATTATTTATAAATGATTAATGTTTTGTAGGATATCCTCTGTATTGTATAACATGTCTTAAATATGTTGGCATGAAAAATAATTTTGTTTAGATAATCCCTACTAATACGCCGTCATTCTTCTTTAAGGTGTGTTTTCAATTTTTTTTTTTGTTAAGTCATAACATTTTTTTGAATTTATGAAATTTAAATTTCGAATCGTTATCCTGATAAAATTAAAATTTGTATCTCATGCTTATATTAATTGCACTCTTTTCTAAATTATTCTTAAAAATGCGTAGAAATACAGTGCCACACCATTACATCTCCACCGCCATATTTTGTTATTGACTGTAAATGTTTTGGATTCGGATCTTCTTTTTGCTTCCTTTACACTCTTATTTGTTCATCGCTACCATAGATATTAAATTTTCTTTCGTCAACAAAGATCACATTATTACATCATTCATTTTCTTTTCTTACGTATTTCTTTCTTGTGAAATGAAATCTTTTTGCGTCTTTTATTAATACATTGCGGCTTTTTCCTAACTATTCGGAAAATAGCTCTTTGATCGTAACACCCTTCTTACATTTTCCAGATGCACAATGATTCATTTAACATTGACACCAATTTTGGAATACTTCAGTCTTTCTTAATTTTTCTAATCATACCATGTCTGTCACGACTAATTTTAATATATGGACATCTAGTTTGAGAAATAGATTCAATTCTATCTTTCTACTTATATCTTTTTATAATATCTAATGCCCTTGCTTATTTTTCAAATACTTGCAATTTCACGAATAGTTCATCCCTTTTCTTGGTGTAAAATTACCAATTGTCTCATATGAAAAAATGTATTTTTCCCTTTACGATCCATTTCTTACAAATGCGAAATACGAATTCGATTCTTGATGTTCTCTATAGATAAGCTTATCAGCGTTAAGCCTATAAACATTGTTATAGAAATTGCTTACGTAGGTATACCAGATGTCCGAATATTTTTGTAACACAAAAATCAGTTGTATTTTCCTTTTTGTTTCATTATTTAAACTGTGCAAAATAAAAACAGTTTTTGCATATTTATCTACAAACTATACCGAACGTAACCTAAAATATTTTTCTTCATTTATTGCATGTGTATTTAAATCATGAAGTCTAGAAGCGAAATTCTATTGGTGTCCGAATATTTTGTGACCGATTGTACTTACCCTTATCCAGTTACAGAACCCTTAAATCGAGAGTACGCTCAACCAAAGTAACAATATTCCAACAAGCAATAAAAAGGTGGTAATAGAAGCATTCGAACCTACATGGTGAATAAAAATAATCTTGAAGGCCACTTTCCATAAACAAAAACTTATACGAGCGTAAACTAAAAAAGAAAAATACGGTAAGGAATCAATTCGTGAAAATTTTTTGGCGTGGTTTCTTTTGAAATCCAACAGAAAAATATAGATTTTGAGAACTAACTATTTCCGTGGCCCTTCCATACGGGGAATGATTTTAAATATTTATGCGGCAATTAGAAAAGTATTTACGTTCGTCATTATTTTTTATGCTAGTGAGCATTGAAGTAGAGCATAATCAAAAAAAAGTTGGGAATTCTTATATCTATTCTTATAGATTATTTTTATTCAAAATATATATTCAAAATTATTCAAATTATTTATAAAAATATTTTTTGAATAAGAAAACCACGGTTTGGTGGGGCTGTATTAAAGGAAATAACTTCGATATATGGTAGACCACTTGACTTGTTATTTTATTTATTTTCTGTCCCATATTTATCAATAATTATTTATTTACAAATTCTTCGTTGCGGTTAATTTCGACTTAATTTTGGTGATTCATTGTGTACACACGTGTCAAAATGGTAAGACTTAAATAAACTTCCGAAGAATAGAACAGCGGGATGCAAAGAGTACCTGTAAACGTCACGAAAGCGATAGATCTCGTTTCTTGTATTCGGAGTAGGTTACATAACGAAACGAACGTGTAAAATTTTACGTGTACTTGTCGAAAACCTCGAAGAATCGTACGTTTTCGCGTTCGAGTGAACTTTAATTCTAACAGATTGTGCCATAAGTGCGATTTAGTCGATGACAAGCGTTCAGTCAAGGATAACGTAAAATACATCACAGAGTAAAATTTACAACTTAACAGAGCCACGCGTGCACAGAATCAATCATTCTCGTAAATACAGTGTTGAATAACTTCGATTCGAAGTACAGAGATAGTATTCCAACTTCGAATCGTAACACAAGATTACGAATGCTTCGTGTGAACGTGGCTGTGGCTTAAAAAAGAACGGTAACAACAATTATATTCAGTCAAATTGTAAAGTTGCATTGGAATTAGCAGTTCGGTGATAGACGCGCGATAACAAGTGAGAAAATGTCGTGTCTCGCAGTTTTTATATCGCAAAATGCTCAGTCAAAATATCGACGACACGTAAAATAAAGAACACAATAATGATAATTCGCTAGTACCAGTCGCACCGTTCAAAATTTGTACTCGCGAACTATAAAAATATTAAATCTTGTCTCGCGATGCCGAACGGTCTAACGAATCCGGATCGATCTCGAGCACCGACTATAATCTCTATGGTTAGCTTCTAGTGCGATTGTTCTGTACAAAAATGATAGAGTACAAGAATAGGTTAAATGTGTATAATGTATATATGAATATATAAATACATATACATATACATAAATATATATTTATATTTATATGTATTTATAAATCTCGAGAACGTACGTCTCGATAAATCTTTCGCGAGCGGGAGGACTCCCATTTCTCAGGAATATAAATATAGACGATGCAATTTTTATTTCTTTTTGGAATCACGATTAATTAGATTACACGCTATAGGAAAGTGAATTATTGGCTGGCAAGAATACGCGTCCACGGAATGGCGGAGGATTATTTACAAATTTTGTTATATTACAAAATACGACATCGAGCACGATAAGAACTGTAACGTTCTTTTGGTATGAGGGCAGTGGTTTCTAAACGTTTTACAGTTTAAAAGTTAACTTCGGTCGATCGATGCACGATCCAAGCCCGAAATCGTCGATTCTCTACACGCGGTGTTTTTCTTAGTTTTTTTCACTGACTTATTCGATTGATTTTATTCCCAATTATACCGCGCGGCAAAGATCGACGAGTCCTGCTTCGACATTTTAAACGCTACGTTAAACTGCCTGTCCACTTGAAGTTAATTTGGATCCTGGAATCTTTATTCTTTGGTAAAATAACGTCAAACGTCAATCGTGTCTATTTTGAGAATTATCCTCGAGAAAACAAGACTTTCGTGAGAACGATGAAACTTTACCCATGCGACACGAATAATTATTATAGACGCGTTATCAATTTCTCGAATAGGAAGAGTACGTTAATATTTAATATCGATATTTGGCGTGCGTTGAAAAACTATGGAATCCTTGATACGATCGCGAGAATATTAATCGCGTCGCGTGCAAAAATTTCATCGAGAAATCGAAATTACGATTTTATCGATAGAATAGTAACGCCTAGTATCATTTTCCTAGAATTTCCATACAGTGAAATGACCCGACAGTCTCCGCTTTTATACAAAATATTAATAACGTGTAAAATTTACTGACCAGCTTATTAATATCATCGTAAAAAATTATGCTTTCAGTATGTTCTTAATAGCTACCGAGAACGCAGTCAGTTACCCCACATCCCTTACGATCATCGTGTATAAACATATAATCAGCGGTCGTGTAAGTAGTAGAATCTTTATACGATAGTTAAAACTAATTTTAAACAAATAGATCAAATTACGAACGTTCCATAATTTATATATATCGATAGAATTGAGCTAAATTTCTTATTGGTTACGAATCGTCGTCGATACGGATAAAGTAAAAAAACGCGTGAAGAAACATTAGAAACTTCTGATTGCCAGCATAAAGACACGTCTACTTACACTAGCACCCCTTTACAATTATTTAGCCTCTTGATTCAGTTCGACGATATTTTCTCTTGTGTATACCTTATACCTGAACTTTCGCTTGATATTACATATACACAAAGTTACACAACGTTGTTCCCTAAGCGTGAGCAAGCTTCGAGTTCGCGTACGAAATCCAGCGAAATCAGCAGAATTCGCAGCCAATAGGATCGAGGATCAGAAAAATAACCTGAATCCCATTTTTTGGAACTGGGGGGGATTTCAAGAGCTCCCGTCGCTTCTAAAAAATAGACGCGCGACGACAACTCAAAGCTTGCCGCTTTTAATCCCGAATTGCGTAACCGAACGTGTCTCTAGTGTTAAAATCCGTCCCTTCGACGAGAAGAAACAAAAGAACGCACTTTGTACACGGCACATACATACGTCGTTCATCGTTCCACACCCCCTTACGCTATGGGTGGATCGTCATCGTCGTCGTCGTCGTCCCTCGTGATTAGAACGTTGCCGTAACGATTCTGACGGAACTGTCGAAATCGTTGTAGCCATTTGTATCGTCTCGCGCCGAAGTACAGCAAGACACCAATTACTACGAGGAAGGTTGGGATTAACAAACCAGCCGCTACAGAACTACCTAAACAAAGTTCACAAATAATTCAGTCACAGAAGCATCTCGTTGCGCGCAGCTGTTAAGCATTTCTTTCTACGATAACTCTATGAGTAACGAGATAACCCGGATTATCGGTCCAATGGATACTTAGAGAAAAACGATTCGACTTGTCTCAACAGTTTTCTCGATCAGAAAACCTTTCCTCAATTATGAGTTATACATATAATGTTTTCGTTGAAATTATTTTAATTATACAAGATGGCTGAGGATGAATTAAGCACAGAATTTTTCAGGTACAAAAATAAATCGAACAGGACAAAATTTGTTAGTAATTATTTCATCGGTATTTGTAATATAAAATAGTTAGAAGAACATTAGGTCGATTTGTGCTCATCTGATTAACAACAATGATTAGACGAACGATTGACCGTAATTATTCAAAATTTACAAGAAAAATATAAAAATTGTATTAAAAAAATACCATACAATGAATATTAAATGATAAATAATGGAATGTATTCTTGTAAGTAATTCATTCTCTAATATTAAATGTATTACTGTAAATTGAGTTTTCATTACTGCAAAATAAATAAGCAAATTGTTCAGGAGCCTGCGACAACGAGATAAAAATATCCCAGAACGCATAGGGTTACTAAGGAACACCTTATTACATTTAAGATTTTCTACGAAAATTATTGGAAAAAGCAATTTTATTTGGTATCATTAAATTAGTCTCGGTGCCACTTACGCTACAGGATGGGTAAAATGATATGATTCCATTTAAAAACAACGACGAACTTGATTTTCTATCGAGAAAATCTGTTTTAACGATTGTTAATATTACACTTTGTTACCGATTGAGTGTTTTTTGTTATCAGACTATTGGAAGTGTTTAAAAAATCGCGATATCATTTATAATAAACACTCTATACAAGGTGTTCGGTCACCTCTGTGAAAAATTTTAATAGAATATTCTAGAGGCCAAAATAAAACGAAAATCGAGAATACCAATTTGTTGATTGAGACTTCGTCAAAAAGTTATTAACGTTTAAAGCTTCGCCGCTAGAATGGCAATTTCGGGGAAACATTTCTGGCCACACAATATATTTTCGGTAAAGAATTTTTTTCTGGAAAGTACGCAGGATTTTGGGGGTGTGTCTATTCACCAAAAATGATTGTAATTGACTCCCGCAACCGAAAATAATTTTTCCAGAATAATTTAAAACTTTTCAATTTCGCCGAAAAATTACAGTCGATTTTTCTTAAAAATTCGTTTTTAATTTTTAATAAATTTGTTTGACGCTGTACGGAAATGTTGTTTAATACTTTTTTTGTAGGTACCCAACAGCACTACTCCAGAAAAAAGTTTCATTGAAATATATTCACTATTGTAGGAGTTATGGTCGCTTGAAGATTGGACCATTTTTATGGGGGTTTCCTCATTTTATGGAATTAAAACACAACTTTTCGACATTTTTGGAATTTCTAGATATTCTTCACCAAAATACGCGTTGTTTGCATTTTGAAACATTAAAATCCTCCAATTCGTTCAGGGGTTATGATCTTTTAAACATTCGCATGAAATTTCGGGGTAACATTTCTGGCCTGAAATTATATTTTCGGTAAGGAATTTTTTTCTCAAAAGTGCGTAGGAATTCGAGGATATATCTATTCACCAAAAATAATTGTAATTGGCCCCCGCAACCGAAAATATTTTTTTCAGAATGATTTCATATTTTTTAATTTAATTTTTTAATAACATTTTAACGACGCCTCAATCAAGAATTTGATATTCTTGATTTTCATCCTATTTTGGCCTCTAGAATCCCTCATTAACATTTTTCCTATGGATGGCCGAACACCCTGCGTAATTTACTAATTCAAATTTTTCGAAATCCTTAAGTGTCTTTTATCACTAAAGGGTTAATACTTTCACAGTCCATTAACTCATATTTTAGTCAACATATTAAGCCATACACTTCTGATTTAAAAAGCAGTTTATGTTTAAACTTTTATACGAGTAATCGAATTATGTAAAAAATAATTCAATCGAACATTAACATTAATTTATCAAATTTGGTTAAAGAACAACAAGAAAAGCACAATACGTACTTGATTTTTACCACTGTATTGCACAGAGAATTGTTTCAGAATTACTAACAAGTCAAGGGAGAGCTTAAGAGAATATACAACATTTATCACTTTTTATGTGTGATTGAAGAATTACATTTTTAGGTGAGACAAGATTTTTTTTTTTGGACTGTGAACGCATTAAAGGATCATCGTCTTTTCTTAAATTTGATATACCTCCCGAGTTGAGTTTAGGATCTGGTTGAGCAGTCACGCTAATGCTCAAAGTGGTCGTGGTCTGCACGCATTTCTCGCCCACGAATTCGTAGTGCAACTCGCAATCGCATCGTGGTGCCACGTCTTTCGAATATTGAATGCACGTTTCGTGCGGGCCACATTGCTCCTTCGCGATGCTCAAGTTGCATAGTTTGGGCAAACTCGCCCCGTTTCCACCTAAAACAATCTCAAGTCCTTGACACCTGTCGACGCTCGAAATGACAAATACAACGAACATTTCACCAAGTGCGACGTACGATGGACCGATGTACTGCCATGATACTGCAAACATTTAACTTACATTGTTTCTACACTATTCTCTCGCTATATGACCGAGCTCTTCCCGCAACAATATGATCAGCGTCATCCCCACCACTGGGGACTCAGTCAAGAGACTACATAGAATGTTAAACGCCAGGCTTATCTTTCACAAAACGTTTAAAAGACTAATGTAACAGTAAAACTGTTTTATGTATGAAAATTTTGTTTATACATTTGTCAGAATTTACCAATTAAAATGAGACCAAACAAGATATAATTTAGATCTCATTTAATTAGTAATGCTTATTGCTAAATTTTCCAGTGAGAGAATACTGTATCTAGTATTCTAATATTTTTAAATAACTACTATTTTCACCAAATGAAAATGAGACAGTTGTTAATCCATAAATTGGTTTTGGAAAAGGCAACTGATTGGCAACTGATTGGCAACTGATTTAAAATTAATAAATAGCAACTTAAAATTAGAGAGTAGCTAATTTTAAAGTTCCGTGTTCACTTATTATTTCATTCGTCTGAACATAACTATATATCTGATATAATGAAATATTATTTCGTTACGGCTTCATATTGACCAAGAATTTCTCCGATAGGCGAAATAAACCAGTCTGTGAAAGCGTCGCCAATGTCTATAGCTTGTCTATTTGTTCCTTCATAACGTCTTGATTGCCGATCATTAAAACTCATTTGTGTCAAATTATTTCCTGACAAAGTATTTTCTGTACATTGTTCGATTATTGTTCAGTCTATACACAAAGAAAAGACGTAATATTTGAATTTAATTAAAAATATAAACGTTTCGACCCTTATTCGAGTCATCTCCAGCCTGATAAAAAAAACTGTATGACGTGGAGGAATAGTAAATACATTTGAAACCAAAACTAACTAGGAGTATGATCATAAAAATGTGCATACGCAATAGAACATGAAAAGATAAAACAGTAGAAAAAAGTATTTCTAATGTAAGAAAAAAGACAAAAAGGGACAGTAAATATTGTTGCCTATTGTTTAGACTAAAATTGACGTTTTACAAACTGTAGATTTGCATATTTTCATTAAAGTATAATTTGTAGACAGGAGTAGAACATTTACAGTGAACAATAGAAATATTACAAAGTATAAGCGAGAATATATTATGTTTCTTTTTCTCTTATCTATTCTTTTTTTCATCGGTTCAGTTTCTCCTGTACACATAAAGAATTTATCTTGATATTTAATTTCATAAACATTGTGTTTTTTACTTGTACGAAGACTTGAAAATAGTCAAATTTGTTCCCTATACTATATTGTTTAGTTATGTAGCGGCTAGCCGTACAAGTATAAAAAGGCATAGGACATGCAAACGGCTAGCACGGTTTATGACATGAACAACAGCGAAGCTATCTTTGAGAAAGCCGTTTCTGCAATTAGAATTTGTAAAAAGCATGCCCATAGTAAGAATTTGTTAAACGGCCTCGATGGTGAATCGCTAGTGTCATAAACCCTGAGTTTCCCCAAGGGTCCTCTATGCAAGGACAAGCGACCATCGGCTGGTCACGCTGCCGACCTAGGACCTTGGGAAATTCCGCGGCGTTGCCACCTTCGCCAGCAAGCGCAACCACCGTCAAATCGCACCCCCGTTTCAAGAAGCGCGCTGCGAGCGCAAGAAGGGGAACGGTACGATTTGGCGGAGTTCTAAGTCGCTAATTGGTTAACCCCACCTTTTAGGGGGTTGGCCAAAGAAAACGGCGACAGCCATGTAATAATATATAAAGAAAGACGAGAGTTTTCTCGAGACCAATTTGTTCGAGAACGACGCACAGAAAATAAAGACTTCAAAAAGTGAACGCTGTGATTATATAATACCAACACGCACTCTATCCCTTCATTGGTGACCGCCGACGTGATCACAGTTCAGTTTTTGTTCATAAGTTTTGAGTGACGTGCAAGTGGTGATAAGATGCAAACGACACGGAATCAGGCAACATCCGCGACCGGCAGCGCGTCCGAGAGCTCCGCCGCGATTCCGGAAGCAACCAGGATGAACATCCGCATTCCGCCGATTTGGCCCGAGCAGCCCGTGGTGTGGTTCCACCAGGTGGAGGCGCAATTTGCTCTGAGCGGCGTGTCAGCAGACACAGCAAAATTCTACTATGTGATGTCGCAGTTAGAGCCAAAATACGCTGCGGAGGTGCAGGACATTTTTAACAACCCCCCGGCCACGGAGAGATACGAAACGCTAAAGAAAGAGTTGATACGTCGACTTTCCGCGTCTCAAAGCGAGCGCATAGAACGACTCCTGGCGAAGGAGGAAATAGGGGACCGGACACCGTCCCAATTTTTACGGTACATGCAGGGCCTGGCAGGGACTGCGGTAAATGAAGAATTTTTGCGTACGCTATGGTCGCGAAGTTTACCAACAATGACCCGCGCGATAGTAAATTCACAACCGGACTTGCCGCTCAGCAAGCTCGCTGAAATCGCGGATCAGATACGCGAAAATACGAACCCAGTGCAAGTCGCGAGTGTTCAGCAAGACAGTGCAATGGAGCAGGTATTAAAACGCCTGAATGACCTGCAGTTAGAAGTGGCTGAATTAAGACGAGGCCGTGCCGAAAGACAATCGGAGAGAAATTTCCGTCGCCGATCTCGCTCACGTAGTTTTAAACGCGGAAGTTCGCCAGCGGGAAGCAGGCATTGCTGGTATCATAGAACCTTCGGAACCGCGTCGACAAAGTGCCGTCAACCGTGCAGTTTCGCGGCGGGAAACGCGGAGACACGTCACTGAATGCGGCGAGCAGTGATGTCCCAAAAAACGAGCCGCCTCTACATGGTCGACAAAGATTCGAAGGAAGAGTTCTTGATCGACACGGGCTCGGACCTTTGCGTGTACCCCCGCATGCGAATAAAAGGCCGAGTCGATAAGGCGACTTACGAGATGTACGCAGCGAACGGTTCTACCATCAGCACATACGGCGTGCGAACCATCAATTTAAATCTGGGACTCCGTCGTGCTTTCCAATGGGATTTCATAATCGCAGACGTATCGAAGCCCATCGTTGGAGCCGACTTCCTGAGCCACTATGGGCTGTTGGTGGATTTGAAGAACCGCCGGCTACTGGACCAAACAACTACGCTAGCAGCCATCGGCAGGACAACGAAGGACACGACCGAGTCGGTCAAAACAATCGTTGGAAATTCACCCTACGACCGGATGCTAGAAGAATTTCCAGACATCGTCCGACCCATCACAACCGTCCGTCAGGTAAAACACGACGTCGTACATTACATAAACACGACTTCCGGGCCGCCGATTTTTTGTAAACCGCGTAGATTATCGACGGAAATGTATAAAATCACGAAAACGGAATTTGAAAAGCTCCTAAATCAAGGCCACATACGACCTTCAAAGAGCCAATGGGCTTCGGCTTTGCACATTGTGTCTAAAAAGGACAACGGATGGAGGCCTTGCGGAGATTACCGCGCTTTAAATGCTCGCACGATCCCTGACCGTTATCCGGTCCCGCACATCGAAGATTTTTCGCGAATGTTGAACGGAAAATCGATATTTTCGACGATCGATCTGATAAGAGCGTATCATCAAATTCCAGTACATCCGGATGATGTCGCTAAGACCACGATAACCACGCCTTTCGGTCTGTACGAATATACAGTCATGCCATTTGGGCTGAGAAACGCTGCTCAAACGTTCCAACGTTTTATAGACATGGTACTCAGAGGCCTTGATTTCGCTTACGCATATTTAGATGATATATTAGTCGCGTCGAGAAATGAAACGGAACATAGGCAGCATATGAAGCAACTTTTCTCACGTCTAAACGCGTACGGCATAGTAGTTAATCCGACAAAGTGCATATTCGCCGCGTCCGAGGTAAAATTCCTTGGGTATATCGTCAACGCCGAGGGTACGAAACCACTACCTGAAAAGGTCGAAGCGATCGTAAAGTTTCCGAAACCGCATACGGTCAGACAGCTTCGCCGATTTCTAGGTATGGTTAACTTTTATCGAAGATTCATACCGAACGCAGCAGTACTTCAGACCCCCCTTAACCATTTGTTAAAAGGGAAGAAATCAAAGAGCGACGCGCCGATACAGTGGCCCACCGAAGCCGAAAAAGCAGTAGATGAGCTAAAAAACGCGTTAGCGAACGCCGCGTTATTAGCACACCCAAATAGTAGCTCGCGCCTCGCGGTAATGGTAGACGCGTCAGATTTCGCGCTAGGCGCTGCCCTGCAGCAGCGGCAAGGAGATGGTTGGCAACCGTTAGGATTCTATACGAAATCGTTGTCGCCTCCGCAACGAAAGTATAGCGCATACGATCGCGAATTGTTAGCAGTATATGCCGCGATCAAACAATTTCGCCACGCATTGGAAGGGCGGACATTTACCGTGTACACTGACCATAAGCCACTCGTATACGCGTTCAGGCAAAAGCCAAAGAAAAGTACTCCCAGGCAATTTAGGTATTTAGATTTTATCGGACAGTTTACCACAGATATTAGACACGTCAGTGGCAAAGACAACGAGGTAGCAGACGCGTTGTCAATGGTAGAATCAATTACCACAGCAATAGACTTCGAGAAACTAGCAGAATCACAAAAAGCGGATCAAGAGTTACATAAACTTCTAACAGCAGCCGATACCTCGCTACAGTTAAAACGCATGAAATTTACGAATAGTGACACCGAAGTGTATTGCGATGTTACCACAAATAGAGTTAGGCCATTCGTAACTGAACCCTTCCGACGGCAGGTATTCACCTCAGTACATAACCTTTCACACCCGGGGATTAAAGCCACCGCGAAACTGGTCAAACAACGCTTCATATGGCCGTCGATCGAAAGAGATTGTCGCGAATGGGCCCGAAGTTGTCTCGAATGCCAACGCGAAAAAATTC